CAATATTATGAATATATATATATATATATATATATATATATATATATTAATAACATTATTATTATTAAACCACAACCACTAATGGTTGGCACTGAAATTTTTTGTCTTTTCTTCAGGCTCTAAAAACGGTGATCATCGTGGCTGTTGTCTTTCTGTGCATGACGTCACCGAGTGCAATTTTGCGTTTTTGGATTATAAACAATGGAGTTTACTATTTTTCCACCTGGTTCTTTTTTGCTAATCTACTTAGAGTATCTAATAGCTGCGTTAATCCATTTATTTATGCACTCATGTCCAGTAGTTTTCGATCGGCCATCAAATCAACATTTTGCTGTAAAACAGATTCGACAAACAGGCAAAATTTAAATTTTAACTCTAGAAGTAGACCGTTGCAAAACAGAGTTTAGAAACAATGATAAACTAGGCCAAGAGTAATCTTCATTAAATAAGGCTGCATTCACATCGGATCCCAAACCAAAATTCCGACCAGGTTTTGGATGCACTACGCCAGCGTCCCTACTCCTGTGACAGAGTGATACAGTAATTTATATATAATATACACAAATGTCTTAGCATCATATTTTTATAATATATAAGTGTATTTAAGGAGTTGAAGATGTTTGCTGACAAAGGTTTAGTTATTCATTCATTTGAATAAATAAATTTTAAAAAAAATTAACTGATGGTGTGTGTATGGATGAGATAACGGGATGAGATACATGGATAGATGGATGCATGCATGATGGCATGCATGATGGATAGATAAATGGATGGCTTGATGGAAGGAAGATCAATGATGGACGAAGGAAGCCTTAGGAAGGCATGCAATAAATCAATTCAAAAGTACGGACAGATGGACAAACGAACGAATTCAAACGAACGACAAACGACCCAATGAATGAAGTCAACACATTCACTTTCACTCTCTAAAATTATTCGATGCAAAAAATAAATAAATAAATAAAACACAAATTAAATACTTGATTCGGTACGAGGTGAATAGGTGTACTTTTTTTTTAGAATTAACTAATTTAGATGATTGCATGTAATTAATTGTTTATTAAAACAAAGATCGCTATATTTAAATGAATATTTTGAAATGTAATTTTATGTGTAACCTCGGATACGGCGTCCAATATTTATAGAATAGTAATAATAAAGTAATAATAATGTACCATAAAATGTTACGTTTCAATTTATTTACCCTAACTGGGGTTTTATTCATCATCAATATATAGGCCACTGGCGATTTTATAATAATACAATAAAGATCCAGTGTTGTCAAATAATCAATTCTCTTTTTATTATTTATTCTTTTTATTTTTTATTGTCAAAATAAGACGGTAAACAATCCACCGAGTTGTTGGAAAGGAACTCAAAAGCAAACCTAATCACTATTGTGTTAGCATGAGAACCTCAACCACCCAGATTCATAAAAATACAATGCTCAAAATTTAATAAAACATTTTTACTATATTTTTACTTTTTTTTTTACAGAAATGTAAGTTGAAAACTTTGCGTTGAGCAAGAGTAAACAATTATTTAAGTTACTATACAATGTCTTGAGAAAAGTGTAAAATGAATTAATTGAAGCATTTAAAAAACCGTGTTTATTTGTCGATATATTAGCCGTTAACATCAGCAAATTAAACAAAATTTGTACTTTTTATGTTTAATTTATGTTACATAATGATAAATAAAATTTGTAAATGCAAGGAAGAGTATAATACAATTTTGGATTAAATCGATTTCTGATCTGAGAAAAGAAAGGACAAATCAATGTAAAATGGAATTCATATTCGATTGAATTTACAGAGCTAATACAAACGACACTGGAGTGGAATCTTATTCCATCTACCATTCTCGACCTCTAATTTAATAACTCCTAAACCAAAAACAGTATTCTACGTTTAAAATTCCGAATTTCACACCCGTATATTGATGAGTAGGTGTAATTTCCTAGAATTAATTAATTTACATGTACAGTAATTAAGAATTGTTATTGAAACATGTTGAAATTGGTAATATTATTTTTACATCAAAGCGTTTATCCCATATATTTATTGGTAGATAATTTAAGTTCTGATTTATTGATGATTTAAGAGAATATAATATGTAGCCGCAGTATTGCATTTCCATATATAGTCAAGATGTGTCTATATATGATCATGAAGTCATGGTCATAGTTTGTATGTTAACATTCAACGCGGATATTGTGTTAAGTGTGTTTTGAAGAAGTGTTAATAAAGTAGAGTAGCGCATTTTCCAATTTGTATGTTTCTCTGGATTTCGCACTCATATCATACATTATTGCCTTTTTGGCAGTTGCGTTCTATTGTATTATTCCATTGACCGTCTTAATTTAAACACAACTACTTGTCTCCTTAGTAGTCTTTCAACTCCATTGAGTAATGTTTATATGTAAAACGACACCTGGAGCGATACCAAAAACAATTCATTATTATTTATCTAAAGTGCCTTTATGATAATAATGAGGATGATGATAATGATGGTGATGATAATGATTGTAGCGGTGATGATTAGAGCTGGAACCGAAGTCTTACATTAAAAAACTGCAACAGGCCTATACTGTAATGCATAAAAAAAACAATACGGAAAAAGAAAAACAACAACCACAGTGGCGATGATGACGATGATAACGATAATGATGATGGTAGTGGTGGGGATGATGATAATGATGGCGATGATGATGATAGTGGTGATGACGAAAATTATGATTATGTTGATGATTGTAGAATAAGAATCGACTTTTTAAAAGAAAACGACTCTGATGGAATCAGTATAGGCTGTTATGTGACACAAAGGTATTACTGGTCAAGCTGGCCCTAATTAATTGCAATCAAAACGTTATCACTCTTCTTAAGAGGGACATTCATATTTTTAAAGCAGGCCTATGCATGTGCTATTTTTCGGCAGAAGAGCCATTTTTTTCCACAATGGTGGAGCTGAGATGGGTAGGATCAACAAACTGTTGTGTCTGCCCAATGAAGATAAAGAAACGGAAAGATAAAGAAAGATGTGCTCTGATAAGATGTAAAAAGGAAAATGTAAAACATGAGACGAAGGAAATGAAAAGATGAATAAGAAATAAACGATAAAATGAGAAGAAATACAAAAGATAACATCAAAGGAACAAATAAAGAAAGATAAACACTGAGATGAAAAGAAAATAAGATGAAAAATAATAAACAAGGAAAGATTTTTAAAAAATAATCCAAAGATAAAGAATAGAAAAATGCGCTCTGATAGATGTTTAAGACGAAAATATAAAAAATAAGGTGAAAGAAAACAAAAAGAAACGATAAAAAAGATATCAATGATAAAATGAAAAGTAAAGAAAACAAAAGATAACATCAAAAGAAAGGGTAGGTCTAGAAAAAGCGAAGATAATTAAAAAAAGAAAAGAAAAAGATATGTAGAAAATGAAGATTTGAAATGAATAACATAAATAACGAGAAGTATCACAATACATAAATGACGTGTTAGTTTACAAAAGTAGTCTCGAAAGTAAGCCCATGGGCTCCATTTCAACATAGCATGGCTTTGTTTTTTTCCGAGATAGTACGGTACGATACGATACGATATTCTTTATTGTCATTTGAACAACAGGTACAAATGAAATTCAAGTGATCCCAACTCCAAAGAGACATATTCAAATAACTTAAATCTAATGAATCATATTGAATTTATTGAATGTTAATGAATCTTATTGAATCTTATTGGTGGGTGTGGAGTCAGGATCAGGAAAGACATCACCATGACCCTCCGGCTACAGGAATAGGGGACAGCGCTGCCCTGAATCTGCGAAAACAGCCAGAAACTAAAAAATAGCCTGGTAGTCACAGAGACAGAAAACAGCTAACTGTCTGCCGTTGGATCACAATGTTTATTGAAGACATGAATGGAATTATGAACAAAAGATTGTTTACAACGTTTAGTGTTTTGATTTAAGGTGATTAGTCTGCCAGTTCGGCTTTGCTTATAGTACTTATTTAATGGGTGATCAGGATTCTCGCAGATTTTTTTTAACTGTGCGGAGTATGTCCATTTCATGTAACTCATCCAAATTTTCAGGATTTTCCCCAGTAATTGTGCTGGCCCACTTAACTATTTTAAATAATTTATTTTTTTCAGCTTGTGTAAGATTTGAGAACCAAACAATAGAACCAAAGAGCAGAACACTTCTAATTACACTTTTGAAGAAAAGATTTAAAATTTCACAGCTAATATTGAATGTTTTTAGTTTTCTTAGGAAAAACATCCTTTGACTAGCTCTTTTTGTAATTGATAAAGTGTTTGCTTCCCAGTTTAATGTTTTATCAACGACAACGCCCAGGTACTTAAATTCGTTCACAATTTCAATGTTTTGATCGTTAATGGTGAGAGCATTTGGTACTCTGGTTTTACCAGATCAAATATGATCTCCTTAGTTTTATCTGTATTTAAAGTAAGATTATTGTTTATACACCATGTGACAAATTCATTAATGGACTGTCTGTACTTTTGCTCATTATTATCCTTAATGGATCCAATGATGACACTGTCATCAGCATACTTGAGTAAGCAGCAGTCATCAACATCAAAATTAATCTTGAAATCATTAGTATAAATGCTAAACAAAACCGGGGAAAGTACGCACCCCTGCGGGGCTCCTGTGTTGCATAATGTTTCCTCAGATGCCATGTTCCCAATAACTACCTTTTAAAGGCGATCTGATAAAAAATCAAAGATCCAGAGTATTAAACTAGGGTTTACATCTAGAAATATTAGCTTATCCATAAGCAGATGAGTTTGTATGCAGTTAAAAGCCGTACATTACAGTACATACAATGTACATGAATTTCAAAGAAATAAAAAAAAAATAATTTTTTTTTCTTTAAATACAGTAATTTAGGTGGTTTAAAGCCGGTTAATACACTCCAGGATGCTGATTGATGTTGTAGTGGCCTATAATTGTATTATAGTACCGTACCGGTAGTAATTCCCAAAATTTGCAGCATTCATTTGAAAATAATCCCCCCCCCCCCC